GGCTAATTTCTATTCAGATATACAAGGCTTCATTGGCTAATTTCTGTTCAGATACACAGGGTTTCATTGGCTAATTTCTGCTCAGATACACAGGGCTTCATTGGCTAATTTCATTGGCTAACTTCTGAAAGCAGATTGCCAGGTCTTGCTTCCTAGTTTTCAGTCTGTACCTTGGTTGACCCCATTGGTATTTGAAATATCAGTAGCATAGTGTCATTATCCTCTAATGTTGCTGTAACAAAAATACCACAAGTGAGTGGCTTTAACAAACCAAAATGTTTTCTTTCTCCATTTGGAAGGGTAGAAGTTTAAATTCGGGGAGCCAGTTTTAGGGGAAGGCTTTGTCTCTGTGTTAGCCCTGGGGGAAGGTACTTATCTCTTTCCAATATCTGTGGGCCCTACGTTCCTTGAAGATTGCCATATGTCTTGGTATCAGTCATCCACTGGATTTAGGAGCTTCTCAGCACAGTGGCCCTGAATCCAGAGGAGGCGCTCTGTCCCCGCCTCTTCTTTCTTCTTGGTGGCGGTAGACCCCTCTGAGCTCTGCCTACTTGTTTAATCTCTCATATCTCAAAAGAGATGGACTCAAAATACCATCTAATCCTGTAGATTACCCCCTGCTTCAGTCACATAACTGCATAGCGTAGTGGTTACGAATCAGGCTGCTAACCTCAAGGTCAGCAGTTCGAAACTACCAGCTGTTCCATGGGAGGAAGATGAGGCTTTCTGCTCCCATAAAGATTTACAGCCTCAGAAACCCTGTGCAGGGTCACTATGAGTTGGAATGGACTCCACGATACTTAACAATTTAACAACATGTTAATGAGGCTAATCCTGCCTCATTAACTTAGTAGAGGAGTGGCTTCACAACACAGAAGATACTGACATCAAATCTCAAGAATGAAGAATAATTCTATAATGCTGAGAATTCATGGCCTAGCTAAGTTGATGGATATTTTGGTTCAGATACACTTCAATCCATAACGCATAGCTTTCAGCATTATTCAACCTGCAGACCACCACAGTACAACAAAGTTGTAATATGTACATTCCATTGCAAGCTCTGAAGAAGACCATGAAACAAACAAACAAAATTACATCATTTCAAGATTGGCAGGAGTCATTTAAAAAAAAAATATATATATATATATATGAAAGCATTCATTGGTACCCGTGGCTAAGCCTGGGGATGTGAGTCACGAGTGGAAAGGACCAAGGTTGTATCTGCTGAGAACTGCATCATTGTGTGGTGACCACATCAAATGACAGAGCACAGACTCCTCCCCAAGCTTTTTGCCTTTTTTTAGATCTGTGCACTATGTTTGTGATTGCAGAAAGACTGAGATGTTTACTCTGTCTCCCTCACTGTCCAGATCTGCCTCAACCGCCGGTGTCAAAATATCAGTGTCTTTGGAGTTCATGAATGTGTGGCCCAGTGCCACGGTCATGGGGTAAGTATGCCAGGCCCCTTTTACCCACCAGCCGATCACAAATTAAGCAAGAAATCACTCTTTCATCAAGGTTTTTGCTCTCCATCATTTAATAGAGAAACAGAGAGTGGTCACTGCCCCCTCCCAATTTCCATCTGAAAATACTCATTTGCTTTGACCTCTTCATAGCACAAGAAAAGTGCTTTGTATTAAGAAAATTTTATAGAGTTATAATTGTCTTTTAAAATGAACCTTTTGTGATTTAAAAAAAAAAAACAACCCAAACCTAGAATGCTGTCATTTTCAAACTAGCCTTCCTCCACATGAAGAGCTTTCCATTAACATTTCTGTCCCTCTGCATGGCCAGCTATCAAAGTGCCATCCAAACTGAAATGCTTCCAAAAGGACCTTAAACAAAGACAGGCGCATGTTTTTAAAATCCTAGACAATAGGCTTCAGCTAAAAAAAAAAAAAGCAGTTATTTTAGATCTGAGAGCCTTTAAGGGGTAAACTGGGAAAAAGAGTCTAATTGTTTAAAACAGACTGTCTTGTTCCTGATGGGCTTAATTATTTCCAATGGAATCATATGAATCTTGATTAGCCACACTAGTAGTTGATTTCTTTCTCCAAAGCCTTTGCTGGAAATCACACTCCAAATGCTACTTTAAAACTTGTTTATGCTCACCAGTGAATGATGGCGTTGTTCTAAAATTGTTGTTGTGAAGTGCCATCGAGTCGGTTCCAACTCATCGCGACCCTGTATAGGGTTTCCAAGGAGCAGCTGGTGGGTTTGAACTGCTGACCCTGTGGTTTTCAGTCTGGTGCAGCTCCTACAGCGCCACGCCAGGAGTCCGTTTATAAAATGATTGGGCTGTAGCCAGAAAGGTGAGCGCTGCCTGCTCCCATGGGTTTGTCCATTGTGCCTTTAGCGCTCCATGTGAAATGGGATCTTAGGTCTTCATTGGATCATAGCTTTCTTTGTAATGGCTGTAAGAGATGGGTGGTCTAGTCCAGTGGTATTATTTTACTGGTAGATAATTGAGACCCAAGGTTATTTGATTGGGTACAGAAATGCTGAGTTTAAGGCCCCAGATGGCTTATTTCCCAATATCCCTGACACCAACCTCATCCACATTTGGAGAGGGAAGAGGGAAACTCACATTCTTCTGGGCAGTTGGGGTGGCTGTCCATGCCTTGGTGACCAGTAGCTTAACCACAGGACCTTGCTAATGAGGAGAGTGTCACCATCAGCTTCCCCCAGATGAGGTGTCGGGGTGACTCTCCCCACAGCTGCAGGAGGGGCAAGAATATACGCTACAGTGAAATTGCACCAGGTGGTGTGGGCAGGCCAGTGCAGAATCAGTGTAGCTGCCTGAGTCCTGGGGCTGGTCCATCAGTGGTACCATCTTTAAGGAAATAGGCAAGACACTCAGGCTTGGCGTAGGCTGTGCCCATGATGAAATTGATGCCTTTGAATTACAGTGTTGGTGGAAAATATTGTGGACCACCAGAAGGAGGAATTACTCTGTCTTGAAAGAAGTACAGCCAGCGTGTTCCTCAGATGCCAGAATGGAGAGACTGTCTTATATACTCTGGACATGTTATCGGGAGGGACTAGACTCTAGAGGGGTAGACATCATGCTTGGAGGGTCAGAGAAAAAGTGGGAGACCCCCAATGAGATGGATTGGCACAGTGGCAGCATAGCAACAATTGTGTGGGTAGCCAGGACTGGGCAGTGTTCCATGCGGTTGCCATGAGCATTGTTCAGTCGGTTCAGACTCACAGAGACCCTGTATAGGGTTTGTGAAGAGAGGCCTGTGGTTCAAACCAGCCTTGCAGTTCAGTGCTAACCCATGACATATGTTGTTGTTGTTAAGTACCATGGAGTCAGTTCCGTCTCATAGCAACCCTGTACAGGGTTTCCGAGGCTGTAAATCTTTACGGGAGCAGAATGCCTCATCTTTCTCCTGCGGAACCTCTGGTAGTTTCGAACTGCTGACCTTGAGGTTGGCAGCCCGGTTCGTAACCACTATGCTACCAGAGCTCCTTTTGTGGGTAGCCAGGACTGGGCAGTGTTCCATGGGGTTGCTGTGAGCATTGTTTAGAGCTTTCAAGTCAGTTCCGACTCACAGAGACCCTGTATGGGGTTTGTGAGGAGAGGCCTGTGAGTTTGAATCACAGACCTTGTGGTTCAAACCAGCCTTGCAGTTCAGTGCTAACCCATGACATATAGACCTGCTTAATTTTAGCTTCATAAGAATTTGTTTTCCGGTGGATGGCTTGTCGAAAAGGCAGAAAGTCATCACAAATGAGACCCACAGGCTCCAAACGTTTCATCTTCCCATGAGCCTGTGTTGTCTCTGTTACAGTGCAGAGTTGAGGCCTTTGAGATTTTTTTTTTTCTGTTGTTCTGAGTACAATTTATGTTGGTTTTCTTGGGTGCAGGAAAAATGTCAAAAGCACTCTGAGTGCAGATTATTGACTTGTAAATTTTCCCATTGATTGTGCCATTGTCCTGTCCACTCCTGATTTGTCACCAGTTCCTAGTGACTTGCTTTTCTTTACCCAATATTCCAAAGCATTCAACATAATTTTCATAGAAACAGTAGTGTCTTGTGTTCACCTTCAATGGCATTGGCTCATGTACTAATTTGGTAAATTAGACACCTAACAATAGCAAGTGTCATGGTCAGTTGGCCAACAGTCTCATTGGTGTCTGCTGGTGACCATGTGATCCGGAGCTCCCTGGCCTCCCCCATGCATTCTTGGATCATGGCCCACCAAAGGCAGAGCTTGCCCTCCTCTAACACCCTGTTGTTGGTGTTGTTTGGTGTCATTCCGGCTCATAACAACCCTACACACAATCGAAGGACACACTGCCCGGTCCTGTGCCATCCTCACAGCTGTGATTACACTTGAGCCCATTGCTGCTGCCACTGGGTCAATCCATCTCCTTGTGTGTGTGTGGGGGGGGAGGGTCTTCCTCATTCACTGACCCTCCACTTTACCAAGCATGATGCCTTTCTCTAGGGCCTGGTTCCTCTTGATAGCCCACCACTTGGGCATGTTTCACCAGGTCAAAAACCACTCTCATTTTGTGAGGCAAACACTTCACTGTTGGCTATGCCCCATGCATGGCGGGGAACCACTGGATGACCACCAGAAAATCTGTAGGAAGAAAATGGGCATTTCCAGAAGGCAGTCCTGGGGTTGGGCTTAGAGGATGTGTTCGCCAAAATCTCAGACACTTGGTGGGGTGCATGCCTCCATCCTGTGGAATGTGGCGGCAGGAGCCCCCATAGAGGGAGAGGTTGATCTGGGGTGCCTAGCTTCCTGTCTGAAGGTGGTGGGGAGCATGCCTAGGGTTGCCAGGCCCCATAACACCCCAAGGGCACCAAGGCCTCACCCCTGAAGCAGGGCCCTCATGACTGCTGGGAAGTGTCATATTCACCTGACCAGTCTCTATCCAGCTTTCCAGCATATGTTTCAGTGTCTCTCGATTAGTGTCATTGAAAGCTCGTCCTTGGACCATATTGCCCAGTATGGTTTACTCCCATGGGACTGACTGGTCATGACCGTCCACTCCCTAATCTGTCCTAGAGAACACAGCTAGTCTGCCAGTATCTGGAAATGTCCCCTGTCCATATCAGTCGAAGTTTAAAGAACTGTGATCTCATGAGACCACCGATTCTATAGGACTCCTAACAGACATTTGGACTCCTGGTGTAGCATTGTAGGCTATATAACAAAGGAATGCTAACCACAAGGTTGGTGGTTCAAACCCACCAGCTGCTGCTTGGGAACCCTATCCAGGGTGGCTATGAGTTGGAACCCACTCAGTGGAACTTAAGAGCAACAACAAAGATTTATGAAAAGTGTTAGGAAAAACTTCCCACAGGAGACAACTGAATGGTTCTTAGGAGGGAGTGTAGAAACCGGCTTGTGAGAGAAATTGTAGCTGGACCTTGAAGATGAATCGATGCTTGTCACGAGGGGAGACGCTGAGCGTCCTGTAGTTCAGGGAGTCAGACATGGAGCTGGGTTGGGTAGAGAAGAGGTGGGGTGGAAGGTGTGGCTAAGCCCCCGCAGTCTCAGCTCTGGTCCTACCTGTGCTGCTATACTCGGGCTCGGGATGACACTGAGTCTGGCATGTCGGCACCGGGCTGGGCCTGCCATGGAGGGTGTGTGCTAACCTGCCTCTCCTGTTCCCCTCACCTCACCCGCTCCCTTCGGAAGGTGTGCAACAACAGAAAGCATTGTCACTGTGAGGCCCACTGGGCCCCTCCCTTCTGCGACAAGCTGGGCTTCGGAGGCAGCACAGACAGCGGCCCCACCCGAATAGCAGGTCAGTGCAGACACCACCTTCCGAACGAACGCTCGCGTCCTTCCCTGACCCTTTGCAGGCATTTGTTCTCTGCTTGGATGGAGCAGCTGGGCTTCCCGGGTGTCCAGCCGGTGACACTTCCCTTAGCGCCAGTAATTCTTCCAGCGACGGGCCGTGTGGGTGTGAGCTACGCTTCTGAATAAGCATCATTGAGTGGTGGTGGTGATTGTACCAGTAATAACTGTGGTGGTGGTGGTGTATTAGTGTAGTAGTGATGGCGGTGATGATGGCAGTGATAATGGCGGTGGTGGTATTAGTGTAGTAGTGATGGCGGTGATGATGGTGGTGGTAATGGTGGTAATGGTGTTGGTGCTGATTTGGGTGGTGGTACTGGGAATAGTTGGAGTAGTAGCGGAGGCCCTGGTGGTGGTAGGGGTGGGGGGTGGTACTAATAACGGTGGTAGTGGTGGTTTGGGTGGTGGTACTGGGAATAGTTGGAGTAGTAGAGGCCCTGGTGATGGTGGTACTTGTACTGGTGATACTGGTGGTTGCAGCAGTGCTGGCTGTGGTATTAGTGGTCATTGTTGTTAAGTCCATTGAGTTAGTTCTGATCCATAGCAACCCTGTATAGGGTTTCCAGGGAGCAAAACAAGTCCACGAGAGCCAAAATATGACCTTAAATATATCCCACCTGAATTTAGAGGTCCTATCAAGAGCAGATGTGATGCATTAGACAGTAAAGATCAAAGACCAGAAGAGTTGTGGAATGACATCAAGAATATCAAATAAGAAGAAAGCAAAAGGTCAGTGAGAAGACAAGAAAGAAGGAAAAGGTCAAAATGGATGTCAGAAGAGACACTGAAACTTGCTCTCCAGCGTAGAGATGCTAAAGCAAATGGAAGAAATGAGGAGGTACAAGAGCTGAACAGAAAATTTCAAAGGTCAACTCGAGAAGCCAAAGTCAAATATTACAATGAAATGTGCAAAGATCTGGAATCAGAAAACCGAAAAGGAAGAACACGGTCAGCATTTCTCAAGCTGGGGGAACTGAAGAAAAAATTCAAGCCTCGACTTCCATGATTGAAGGATTCTCTGGGCAAATTATTGACTGATGCAGAAAGCATCCAAAGAAGATGGAAGGAATACACAGAGTCACTGTAACAAAAAGAAATGGTTGCTATTCAACCATTTCAAAAGGTAGCATATGATCTAGAACTGATAATACTAAAGGAAGAAGTCCAAGGTGCACTGAACGCATTGGCAAAGAACAAGACACTGGTAATTGATGGAATACAAATGGAAATCTTTCAATAAACTGATGCAGCCCTCATGGCACTTACTCATCTCTGCCAAGAAATTTGGAAGACAACTATCTGGGCAACTGACTGGCAGAGAACCATATTTGTGCCCATTCCATAGAGAGGTGACCCAACAGAATACGGAAGTCATCGGAAAATACCATTGATATCCCATGCAAGTAAAGTTTTATGAAAGATAATGCAAAAACGGCTACAATCATACATTAACAGAGAACTTCCAGAGGTTCAAGCTGGTTTCAGAAGAGGCCGTGGAACGAGGAATATCATTGCTGATATCTGATGGATCTTGGCTGAAAGCAAAAAATACCAGAAGGATGTTTACCTGTGCTTTATTGACTACACAAAGGCTTTCGATTGTGTAGATCATGATAAGCTATGGACAACATTGAGAAGTATAAGTATTCCAGAACACTTAATTGTGCTCATGAGGAATCTGGACCTGGACCAAAAGGCAGTTGTTTAAACAGAACAAGGGAACAGTTAAATTAGCAAAGGTGTGCACTAGGGTTATATTTTTCCACCATATTTATTCATTCTGTCTGCTGAGTAAATAATCCGAGAAACTGCATTATATTAAGAAAAATGTGGCACAGGAGTGGAGGAAGACTCATTAACAACCTGCAATATGCAGATGATACAACCTTGCTTGCTGAAAGCGAAGCAGACTTGAAATACTGATGAAGATCAAAGACAACAGTCTTTATTATTATGGGTGTTGCATCTCAATGTAAAGAAAACAAAAATCCTCACCACTGGACCAATAAACGCCATCCATATAAATAGAGAAAAGGTTAAAGTTGTGAAAGACTTCATTTGCTCATGTAAACCATCAACACTCGTGGAAGGAGCAATCAAGAAATCAAATGAACTTTTGCATTGAGTAAATCTGCACAAGATCTCTTTAAAGTGTTGAAGAGCAAAGATGTCAGTTTGAGGACTAAGGTGCACCTGACCCAAGCCATCGTATTTTCAGTAACCTCATATGCATGTGAAAGCTGGACAGTGAATAAGGATGACCATAGAAGAACTGATGCATTTGAATGATGGTGTTGGAGGAGAATATTGAAAATGTCATGGGCTGCCAAAAGAACCAAAAGATCTGTGTTGGAAGAAGTACAGCCAGAGTGCTCCTTGGAAACCAGGATGGCCAGACTTCATCTCTCAATCTTCAGACATATTGTCAGGAGGGACCAGTCCCTGGAGAAGGATATCATGTTTGGTAAAGTGGACGGTCGACAAAAAAGAGGAAGGCCCCCAGTGAGATGGATTGGTACAGTGGCAGCATCAAACATAGCAACGACTGTGAGGTTGGCCCAGGACCAGGCAGTGTTTCATCCTGTTGTGCATAGGGTCGCTATGAGTCAGTACCAACTTAAAGGCACCTAACAATAACAACAAGTAGCAGATGGTGAGCTTAAACCAATGACCTCGTGGTTCAAACCTACCTTGCAGTCCAGTGCATTAACCCACAGCACCACCTCAGGACTCCGATAGTGATGGTGGTGTTAGCGTTAGCAATAACAACAGCTTCTGTTCTTGAATCATTACCACATGCGGATGCCACTCTGAGGTAGACAAAGAGCCTGACGTTCTGGAAAATGAAGTCACTTGCCCCAAGCCGCACGCTAAGATTGAGGTGCAGAACCCCACCTCCCAGGGCACCCTTTAGCTGGGCTAAGGCTGGTCTCTGAGTATGCTGCTCTTTTCCCAGAGTTCTCCTCAGGCAATTATGAGGCCAGTCGGAACTAGGTCCCTCTTCGGGGTCACAACACAGAGCCAGCACGCTGGATGCCAGAAGTCAGAGCTGGTGGGGTTCACCAGGGGCTGGGGGCTGCCCAGACACACACCTGAGGCCCGGTGACGCTGAGGCAGTGGCTGCTGCTGCGGAAATCACACGTCCCGGGTCCTGCTGTGCTGGCGGACCTGCTTCTGTGGCGTCCCTGCTGTTTCTATGGTAACAGACACAACACTGTTCTGGGGCCTGAGGCACAGCTGTAACAGCCAGATGCAGGAGGGTGACAAACGCAGGTCACCCTTCTGTGTGCATAGGATGCGCTTCCACACCACGAACCCCCTCTCTGCAGCAGATTGAAGAAGATCAGTCACCCCTGCCTGGTGGGAGAGCCCACAGTTCCCGGCCTCCTGCCGGCAGCTCCATGCCTTACGTGACTCGAGTGTTAAACAGTCTGACCATTAGGTCCAGTCTCCACTCGAGCCACCATGTGACCAGTACTGCTGGGAGGTGGCAGCAGAGGTACCCCACATCTGAGTCTCTCACGTGACACATGTGACCAATACTGTTCAGGTGTGAGGGTCTCCAAACACTCAGGGAACCACCAGAGTCAAGCAACTCTTAATTACGCCAGGTGAGAATGTTAGAAACTGGAAAGTGGAGGAGAGTCCTAACAGCACATTCTACGTGCCTCTCAGTCCACGTTCACATATGGAAGCCAGAGGCAGCCTCACCGGGCAGGCCCAGAAGCCTAAAAGCAGCCTGGTCCTTAAAACAAGAGCTTCTCCGGCCTCCGCCTGCCAACCACCTCTCCAGCAGTACTGTCGGTGGCAGGAGGTTGGGCGGACAGACTGTCACCCTGGGACAGGTTCAGGAATGCGAGGACAGCAGGAAGGGGAGATGGGGGGAGTGGGCTATGCAGCGTAGATCGAGAGTCTGAACCAGGTGCAGCCAAGGGGAAGGGGCACAGAAGGCAGATTCCTCAGGACATTGATGGTGCTGGATGTGGGGCAACAGCAGAGGTGGTCTCCATGCTGCCCAGGTTACCAGCTTGGACACACCTGGAAAATGTTCAACTGGATAAATTGATCCATTTAAAGCCAAGTCACAACCAAGCCACTGCCACCGAGTTGGTGCTGACTCAGTAACCCCAGAGGCCAGAGGAAAATTGCCCCATGGGGTTTCCAAGGCTGCAGCATCTTTCTCCCAGGGACACAGCTGGTAGATTCGAACCACCAGCCTTGCAGTTAACAGCTGAGCTCCTAACCACTACGCTACTGTCATTAATCACTCTTGAGTCAGTTCTGACTCATAGCCACCCTGTACAGGGTTTCCAAGGAGCAGCTGATGGGTTTGAGCTGCCGACCGACCCTGGCCCACAGTCCAGTGCTAATCCTACAGCGCCACACCAGCTGAACATGAGCAGATTTAAGGAACTAGAAATTCTGGCTCGGGCTCTGACTGCTTGCTTTTTCACTGGCTTTATTAAGAAATAGCAGAATTCGATCTGGGGCCCTGTGCCTGCCACTAACATCTGAAAAGATGGATGTTTTGGCTGCAAACCAGAAGGGCGCCTTTCATAATGCCAACCAATGAATACAGGCTGCTCTGTTTGACTGAGATGTGTCCCTGGTGGGGCCTGTCAGGAGGACAAGCTCCAGGCACACAGACAGTGTGAAATGTCCTTCCCTGGTGGCAGCGGCAGTGCCATTGTGATCTGCCTCAGCACCCTAAAAGATCTGTTGTACCCCAGCTACAGGACTCGTGCCTCTACTTCAGCTGGAAAAGAGACAGGAATGAATCCCTGCTCTGAAGACCTTGCTCCTCCCCAGTTGAAATCCCAATGAGCCTCCTCTAAACCCAAACACTTTAAGTCCCCTTAGCAACCTTTGATCACACACTACAGCCAGAAACCAACCCGATTGGCATGAGGCATCTGAGGGCTTTCTTCCAAATGTACTGGATTAAAGGGACCAAATGCCAGGGAAGGTGATGTTTTCAAAGAAAAAACACACAGCAACCTCACAGAAAAGGAGCCTGCTTTAAGAGATTTGTTCTTAAGTTCCTAACACAACAAAACAGAGAAAATCCGTGGGGATTTAGTTTCAGCTGTTTTCCTTTTCGGCATGTCTTTGTTTGCTTTTTACACTCTCTAACTTGACAGCGAAGTCCTAGTGTATTGCTGTAGGAAAAGCCGTAGACTGTTCGACTGCTGAACAGAAGGTTGGCTGTTCAAACCCACCAGCCACTCCTCGACTCCTATATGGGGTCATTGTGAGTCCGGATCGGCTTGACAGCACTTGGCAATTTGACAATGTCCAGAAGTCTTGCTCTAAAACAATGCAACTAAGATAAGGCGATGTCGGTGAGATGCAGAATGGACGTAGGAATGAATCTGGGAGCAGCCTAGCTGTGATGAGAGCTGGAAAGATTGTGTGGTGTTGGGTGCCCTGAAATCAGCTCCCACTGATCTTGACCCTATGTGTAACAGACCAGACCAGTACCCAGTCCTGCCCTACCATCATCAGTCATATAGGGACATGAAGTCCATTGTTGCCCCTCCTTTGTCTACTTTGCCTTTCAGTCTGGGGGCATCTCACTGCCCAGCCTTCTGACACACTCATCTCTTCTAACCTGTGAGTTTTTCAGGGGCTGATTGTCTGTAGTAAATTACCAGGCAGCTCCCCTGAAACCTACCCAACGTCGGTGACCCTGCTGGTGTTTGCACTGCCGGTAGCATCGCTTTCAGTAACCTTGTTGTTGTTAAGTGCCGTTGAATCGATCCTGACCCATAGCGACACTGTGTAGGGTTTCCGAGGAGCAGCTGGTGAGCTTGAACCACCAACCTTACAGTTCAAACGGCTTTGCAGTCTGGTGCATTAACCCACAGTGCCACACTTGAGTAAGCTAGCAACATGCAAATCACCACCATTGGACAAACTGCCAGATGGGTGTGGCAAATGGTTAGGAGGAGACTTGGGGTTGGACGCCTGTTGTGACAAGGACTGAGTGTTAGAACCACTGTAAATCTGAGGAGATGTTCTGTGGCCACCATTGTGGAAGTCACACTCGGAGTGGTCCGTGTGTCTCTTCAGACCAAATTCCTGTCTAGCGAGTCCCTTCCTCATCGGAGATGAATGATGGCCACATAGATGGGTCTCCAACAAGCCCTCTGGAGGAAGGCTTCCACGTGAAGGCACATTTGGGGGATTTACTCTTCTATGGAAGACTGTAGAAGAATTGATGATTTTGAGTTATGGTGTTAGAGGAGAATATTGAAAGTTGCCATGGGCTGCCACAAGAACCAACATATCTGTGTTGGAAGAAGTGCAGCCAGAGTGCTCCTTGGAGGCCAGGATGGCTAAACTTCATCTCTCATACTTGGGACATATTGTCAGGAGGGAGCAGTCGCTAGAGAAGGATATCATGTTTGGTAAGGTGGAGGGTCAGAGATGGATTGGCACAGTGGCAGCATCAATGGGCTCAAGTGTGGCAACAATTGTGAGGTTGGCCAGGTTGGTTCTGTTGTGTATAGGGTCACTATCAGTTGGTATTGACTCGATGGCACCTAACAACATCAACTTGTGTTTGTCCCTCCCAAGTTTGCTTTGCCGTAAAGGCTACAACTTTTCATTAGAAGCCTCGTGATGGGCGTCCATCTGCTTTGTTTCAGATCGCCAGAGCCTAACAGTGAGCCTCCTGGTGGCCACCCTGTGCCTTCTTGCCGCGGGCTCCGTGGTGTACCTCAAAAGGAAGACCTTACTACAGCTACTGTTCGCAGAGAGAAAAACCACCATTGAGAAGCTAAGGTACCCTGACAGCTGGGCATTGTGCAGACAAGGAATGGGCAGTTGAAAGACCATTGGACCAGCCAATGCTTAGTTTCCTTAGCCACACACACACAAATGGGGGGCAGGTGGAAATGGTTTGGGGTGCTTTTTTGGTTATTTTTTAGTCTCTGCCTGGCCATCCACCTCCTTTATTATCCTTCTAAACAGTTTGCTCTTTATCCCACAAATAGTGGGGTGTTGATTAATTTCCTGTGGTATACTTTCCTCCGCCCTTACATCAGACATTATAAATGACATTATACATTCAGACTGCTGTCGGATGGGATGGCTTTTGATCATGCTATCACCTGAAACATATCCCGGGTATCCCAGAGCCCCCTCTCTCTGCATAGCAAGAGCTGATTTAGCAGGTGCATGGCTTTGGGGAGAAAAATCAATATTTTTAATCTAGTGAGAGGGCTAGATAATTTTTCCATTGCATGTCAACCATGCTGAGTTACAAATAAGTAGATTTGTTTTCTGGGGGTTGCTGTGAACACTGTGTATAATCTGAGTGAGAGGGGGAAGTGGCATTGGTTAGCTTGTCTGGGCTTGTGTTGCAGGTGTGTGCCTTCTTCCCGGCCCTGCAGTGGCCCCCAGCCTCCACAGGCTCACCTCACCCACCTCAGCAAGGGCTTGAGGAGGAAGCCACCACCTTCCAGCACACCAAAGGTGAGTGTCACACCAGCCTTGGGGTTTGGCACCTGCCGGAAAGCCTGGGCTTTTCTCCACAAGCTGGAGGAGAACTACGGACACAATAGCGCCCCCTCATGGTGTGTTTGCTGGAACTCCCACTAAGTCTCATGGGAATGCAGTGGTTGGACACTGAGGACAGACCCATGTCCTCCAACAAGCGCCTCTCGAGCCTGCTGGGGAGCCAGTGTCCCCTGTCTCGTAGTATGTATGGGGAGTGTTGTGATCATGGACCCTCCAATAACCCCATCATCCAGAGTCCCATGAAGCCAATGGTTTTATGCCCCAACCCGGCTCCAAATGCAGGCTTGGGAGAGAAGCTTGGGCTCGGTTGCTCCTCTTGTGTGTTAAGAGTTGTAAGGAGTCCTGGTGTGGCACTGTGGATTCATGCGCTGGACTGCAGAGTCAGTGGTTCAAGCTTACCAACTGCTCCTTGGAAACCCTACATGGGTCGTTATGGATCAGAACCGACTTGACGACATTTGGTAACAATGTATGTAGGGTCCTCATGTGTTCCCCCCAGGGTTTCAGAGAGCTGGGTCCAAAGTACCCAGAAACGCTCATTTTAATTAACCGGAGTTCACTCTCCAAGTATTTTCTGGCATATCCATGAGAATGCCCAAATGATTCTACAAGGTTGGAGGGGGGCAGGGTGTCACAAAATAACAACTGGTTAAATCTCCCTTGATCTGGCAGTGGAAGTACAGAGGTAAGAATTTAAGGAAGGAGCTCATGGACTCTCCATCCCTAAACATATATTGACTCTCACAAGAGTTCACGTCTGGAATTGATCCATATAGCCATGTACCGGGGAATACATAAACTGTTCATTCAGTTCCGACGCATAGTGATGCTGTATAATATAGTGTAAGTCACACAATAATTGGGCCATGTCAAAGAAACCAGACATAAAGAGTGCACATACATTTATATAGAATTTCAGGTAATTCATAAGTAACAGAAAGCAGGTTGGTGGGATCCTGGTGAGGAGAAGTAGGGATCACAAGGAAACATTTTGGGGTGTAGGTAAATACCAAATTGTACACTTTAAATATGGGCAGTTAACTGCATAACATACTTTCAGTAAAGCAGTTTTTTTGTTTTGTTTTTAAAGAGAAAGGGAGGAGGTGGGGCTGGCATGGTCCTAGGACCAGACAGGAGTAGGGTCTCCAGCCCACTGACTTCCCGGCTCCCTCAGTGCCCCATGTTGTTTACACAGCTCTTCTGGGATTTGCTCAGACTCGAGATCTATCTGTTAATTAAATCCATTTAAAAATATATATATTTTTAGAAAGTATCCCCCCCCCCTCCTCCAGTGGCTCTGTAGGATAAGCACTGGAATTCTATTGTAACTGCAAGGTCAGTGGTTCAAACTCACCAGCCACTCTGTGGAAGCTCTATACAGGGGCGGTATGAGTCGGAACCAACTCGACAGCACCTAAAAACAACAGCTTTAGAGTGAAGTTTGGATGGAGCTTTGAAGTTTAGATTCCCTCTCATGTACAGGATACGGATCACCTAATTTCCAAGTGCATAGCAAAGTGGTGTTTAAACCAGACTGTAGCCTGGTAAGGACCCTGAGGTTGCGCTGTATGATAAGTACTGATCTGCTAACCGCACAATCAATCAGCTGCTCTAAGTCAGAATCCATTGGCCAGCATCATAATGAACAAGGTCTGGAAGACCAGGCAGGTAGTGAGACACCAAGACTCAAAGGGAGCTCATGCTGCTGGAAAACCAGCTCGATCAGTGCAGGGTTGCCACAGACCTTCCATTTGTAGAACCTGCGTTATCCGTGGAGCTCAGTAAGATGCCATATACCTGTGTATCCTTGCTGTTTTCCTTTACTCGGCCCTATGCCTTCAACTGCCAGCAACTCCGTTCTGACTCACAGTGTGACCCTACGGCTGATCACGATTAGCTGAGATCTTTGACGTCTCCTCCTGATACGTGGTTTGTTCCGCTTCCCCTGTAGGACAATCCCCGAAGACTGCCGCTGCGTCACCACGTTGATATCAGCAGACCCTTCAAAGCCATCGATATCAGTCAGTCCTGTTCACCTCAGCGAGTGCCCCCGCCCCTCCACCAGGCTGCACGTGCCCCCAGCGTCCCCGCCAGACCCCTGCCCACCAACCCTGTTCTCAGGCCGCCGGCCCAGGTATGCTTTCAGCTACCACTATGATGGGATGCAGTTCAAGTCCAGGCTCTGCTACTTGCTGACGTGGGGCCTAGACAAGTTGCTTAGCTTCTCAATGCCTCTAGAAATCTGAGGTAATCCTTGAACTACAGCGTAGGTAAACGCAGTCATCCACGTGACAGTTCATTTAGTACCATCCCTTGGTTTTACAGTAAGGATGTGACGATGGATAAGAGCAAACATGCAGAAGCAATTCAACACTCCGTGGAGTTTCTTGGAAGCAGACACTACACCATATTCAGTACTTTGTGACTTTCTTGTTATTTTCATATTGTTTTTGGAGGGTCTGCTTTCTGTTTGCTCTGACCAGGACCTGACTGCATTTCCCAATAGGAAATGAGAGAGGGGCTTTCAAAAGCAAGGAAAGGCAACCACGTAAGCAGGCATAAATTTTCACTGCTATAATTCTTATATCGGCATCTTACTGTACTTATAATTTTACATGCAGAATTTGTGTTATGTACACAGTAGTACATTACTACTTTTTTGCGGGAGGCTTTTAAATCATTTCATTTGCCACTATGCTACCAGAGGCTCCGTAGTGGGGTATACTGAAGATTGTATTTTGGTTCTCACGGACTTGTTTTCCTTTAGCTTCACTTTGAACTTGCTTATAAGCAACTAAGGGGCTGTGGTAGGGTTGGCACCTGGTCTTGTTCTGACTGATGAAAAAGAGAATCACCATTTACCAGTTACTGGCTTCCAGGGTTCTCATTCCGATCACACTTAATCAATTTTATTTCTTCATCTTTGGCAAGTAAATCCATCATCGTTGTAGCCATGCCTATATTTTATCAGTGTTGGACTGCAGGATGTTGTTATGTGCCATGGAGTCGGTTCCGACCCATAACGACCCTGTACAGGGCATCTGAGGCTGTAAATCTTTACGGGAGCAGAAAGCCTCATCTTTCTCCCACGGAACACCTGGTAGTTTCGAACTGCTGACCCTGAGGTTCGCAACCACTATGCTACCAGAGCTCCTTGGACTGCAGGATAGAGCTTACGTTTTTTGACAACAAATTGATGTCTTTGAGGTACAATCCGTAAGTATGTTAAGTCTGTTTTTAGAAGCAAATAATTGTTCATGAATCTTCCTCCAGTCCTGATGCCATGTTCTGCGTCTCAGGTTATTTGGAATAAGTATAGTGATAAAGTACAACCCTGGCGCCCATTCAGTATCCCCTTGTTCTGTTCAAGTGACTGCTTCTTGGTCTATGTACAGGGTTCCTCAGCACAACGAAGTGTTCCGGAATACCCATTCTCTGCAATGTTGTCCATGGCTTCTCATGATCCAGACAGTTGAAAACCTTTGTGTATGTAGTCATGTAGTCAATAAAACACAAGCATCTTTCTGGTATTCTCTGCTTTCAGCCAAGATCCATTTGATATCCAAAGCCAGTATTAGTAATGATAGTTTGATGATTTCCCCATTCCATGGTGTCACTTTTTTTTTTTGAATGGGAGACATTCATGTTTGGGCCCAATCAGTTGGTCAAGTAGCTTTCTTGCAAATGTCTTGGCGTAAACGAGTAAGCACTGTATCAGTTTGATGAGACATTTTCATTTCATCTATTCCTAGAATCTTGTTTTTCACCAATGCCTTCAGTACCATCGATTCGTGATCATATGCTGCCTCGTGAAATGGTTGCACACCGACCAATTCTCATGGGTACAGTGACTGTGTATTCCTTCCTTTGGATGTTTCGTGCATTATTTTGCCCAAAGTGGTGTGCCAGCGAGTCAGTTCTCATAAAGTTCATCTTTCTCCTGAGGAGTGGACTTGGTGGATTCAAACTGCTGACCTTAGGGTTAGCAGCTCAATGTATATAACCCCTACCCTGTTGTTGTGAATTGCTGTCGCGTCGATTCTGACCCATAGCAATCCTGTATAGGATTTCCGAGGAGCAGGTGGTGAGCTTGAACCGCCGACCTTGCAGTTCAAACGGCTTTGCAGTCTGGCACTTTAACGCACAGCACCACACCAGGATTCCTGCTAGGGCTCATGTTGCCGGTTGAAGCTCGAATGTTTCCTTCAGTTCTTTCAGCGTGAGAAATGCTGAGTGCATTCTTCCCTTTTGGTCTTCTAACTCCAGAACTTTGCACGTTTCATTGTAACAGTCTTCTCAAGCTGCCCTTGAACAGAAAAATTCACAGAAAAATTCAAAGTCTTTTACTTCATTTCTTTTGTAGCTTCAGTTCCTCTCTCTCCTGTATGGTGTTTAGGTCATCCCATAACTCCTCTGATCTTCGATCAGTAGTGTCTAGTGCATGAAATCGGTTCTTGAAACAGTCTCTCAATTCAGGGAGGTACACACATATACTCACATATAGGTCATTTTTTTGACTCTTCTGGATTTTTCCTTTTCTTCAGCTTTAGCCTGAACTTGCATATGAGCAATTGGTGGTCTGTTCCACAGTCAGCCTGTGACCTTGTTTTGATAAATTATGTTGAATTCTCCCAGAGATGGATGGAGTCAGTTTGATTCTCATGTTTTCCAGCTCGTGAGGTTTTACATATATAGTCGCCACTGATATTGTTGAAAAAGTGTCTGCAATGAGTAAGTTGCAAATTTCTCTCGTATGCTCTCCAGCGTTGTTTGTGCCTCCAAGGCCGTATTTTCCAACTACTGATCTGTGCGTACAGGTACACTTGCACTTCTTAGGTATCTGTTAACCAACTCTGATTTACAGCCGATTTCTCTGCTGTAAAAACCTACCCCGGCCAAAACATCAAGCTACTACTGTGATATGAGAGTCCTGGTACGGCAATGTAGGATAAGCAGTAGACCAAAAGGGGGGCAGTTCAAACTAACTAGTATTTCTCGGAAACCCTGTGCAGGGTTGCTGTAAGAACATCTTGACAACAACATGATACCAGTGAACAAAGAGTAGGAAGTTGCAGGTCTAGCTAGCCGTTAACTATATTTGTTCTATAAAGCGTATGTTCAATCTGCCTGGTACTTCTGTTTCAATAGTTGACTTTTTCTGACTTGAAATACTTGACCCTTTATATCAGTGTATTATGTTTTCCTCATGTATATTAAGTTTTAAAAACTTCACACCAGGTGTGCCGCTTCTGAGTAGAGGAGTCATCTACAGGTTTAGGGTTAGAAGTCGTGGGACTTCAGTGTTTTCCTGGACTGAGAGGATTGATCCATCTTTGTCCTCCAAAGGCTAAGTAACCTGAGTGTTTTTATCACTCACACCGAGATCTCCCAGCAGGATACAGAGTGTCTCCTCCTCACGAAGACTCTCTACTACCTGGAGAATAAAACACTACCAAGGTTGGTGATCCACCAGTGGCTCCAGACTGGACAAGCTGGATCAACTTGTCCACAGTACTTCCAGTGGTAAAGTTAGCTAGCCACTGCCACACAGCTTCTTTCTAAACTTTAAATGATCTGTTCTTCAGTAGAGACACCAAGATAGGTGGTATGCCTACCGTGAGCACAGAGGGGGTCAAGAGATTGAGTTCTGAGCTGGTCACAAGCTCCGCCAGCCAATGCGCTCGCTGCAGGCACATGAGAGGACCTCGATGTCATAGCCCTGTGGGAGGTATAAGACAAGCCACATGCACTTTCACGACCTAAGGGTATGGGGTCTTGTTTGGCACAGGTTGGACAAGGTCCACGCGATGTTCCGCAGAAACGTGACGAGTATAGCAGAGCCAGCAGAGGGGATGGCATTGCTTGAAGGAACAACATCTGAATTCTAGGCTGTCACCGGCTATTGTTCACGCACAGCCATGTAGGATGAAGTCAGCAGCTGAACTGGGGGCTCAGGTCAGCGGCCAGGCTGCTACAAGCTGGGGTGAACACACCAGTGGGGTAACGAGCCCTGCTTTAACAATCAGGGTCAGGGGAGGGTTCAGGCTACCTGGGTCTGCTTCATGGACTACTTCTTCATCCAGGGTGAGGTGGAGGAGCGGCCAATCTAGAGCTGCAGCCTGACTGCTGTCTACCTCACAGATGCCTCTCTGGCTCAGTACCTCCATTTTCTTAGCTTCTCTTCTGGACCTTCTGATGTCAGCGTATTGACTTGAAAGAAGTTAAATCACCTGGCCAGCATTTTTTGTGAATTTCCCTGTTCCTTTCATGCTTGCAAAGTTCCTTTCCTATTTCAGTGTTAGGTAAGAGCTACCCACCAGTTCTTCTGTCGTGTGTTTGGTTTTCTACACTTTATGAGTCCTTGGAACCTCCCCATGGATTCCTGGACTGGACAGAGAAGTAGCTTTATAGTTTCTTGCTTGTGTTAAACAGGGATTCTGTGTGACTGAAAAAAGGGAGGTCCCCGTGCTGGTGTCTTTTTTTCCTACAAGCAGAAAATGTCTACCTAAGTGACACCTTCATTCTTTCTGTTCTGTGAATAAAGCAAATGTTAACTCCTTCAATGCCCAGTGACCCCAAGGGGTTCCAAGGCTGTTATCTATTCCTGTGTCCTTCTCCACGGAGTAGCTCCTACTTTCAAACTGTCAACCTTTCAGTTAGCAACCCGTGCTTTCACCACTGTGCCATCAGGGTAAATGAAAAATCCACATTTTTCACTCCAGGTGGGTATCTATCTCGAACTTTTCTGAGCTAGATGGCCTGCCCGTGGCTCACGCGTTCCTTCCGTGCAGGTGTGTAGAGGCACTGTTTGGCGTTTGTTCAAGTTTACTCTCCAAATGCTACAGTAACTGTCAACGTCATGTATTTAGGGGCAAACAGGCTCTTTATAGAAACATTTGATCATCTTAAAATGGTCTTAGTTTTTAAAAAAGAAATCAAGGCCCAATGGACCAACTTACTTGTCTTGTCCATCACTGTACCACTCTCCCTCATGGTGAAAATTCCCTTGGTATTCACGCTTGTCATCCAAACTCTTTACCCTTGATCAAGGAAGCAGACGTTAATTTCCTTTCCATCCTGTCAACTATTTAAGAGGATCATAACTGAGAGGAGCTAGCTGGTGGCTGCCAACTT